GTGCAGAAAAAAGATGTGATGAAATTCAACACTCATTGTGATAAAGGTTCCCAGTAAATGAGGCAGGAACTTTCTTAACCTGATACAGGGCATTTTACAAAAAACCTACAGCTAAAATCAGACTTAATGGTGAAAGACGGCTGCCTTCCCCATGACACTGCCAACAAGGTGTGGAAGTCCACGCTTACCACTTTGTTCTACGTTGTAACAGAAGTCCTAGAGAATACAACGAAATAAGAAAAAGAAATAAAAGGCATAGAAAGATTGGAAAGAGAGTAGTTGTTATGGACTGAACTGTGCCTCTCCCCCTCCCCCAGCCCTGTAATTCATATGTTGAAGTCCTCACCCCTAGTACACCTCAGGATGTGACTGTATTTGCAGGCAGGGACTTTAAAGAGGTAATGAAGTTCAAAGAAGTCACAGAGGTGGCCCCTAATCCAATATGACTCTTCATCCTTATAAGAAAAGGGAGACACACCAAGGATGCACGTTCGCAGCAAAAAGGCCATGTGAGGACACAGCGAGAAGGCAGCCATCTGCCGACCGAGGAGAGAGGCCTCGGGGGGAACGACTGGAAAGGAACATGAGGAAGTTTTCATGAATAATGGAAATGTACTATTTCTTAATTATGTCGGCATACACAATTGTCAAGGTTTATCAAACCATGCTCTTAAGTCCTGTGCAATTTCACTGTATATAAATTAAATCTCAATTAGAATAAAAGAAAATGAAAAAAACCCCCACAGTTTTCTTGGCTCTCAAACAGTGCTGTTTTTAAGACCCCACTCTACTGACACCTCAGTGTATACATTTCTTAAATCATTAAACCATTACAGGCACTGAGGTCAAGACATCTAATTGATTAGATCCTAGTTGTGGGAAAATGGGGCAAGGACACAGAAAGAAAAATCAATACATCTACAGCTGACCCTTGGACAACGTGGGGGTTAATCCGAGTATCACTTATACATGGCCCTCCGTATAGGTGGTTCCTCCATACTCTTGGATTCAATCAGTGATGGCCCGTGTAGTACTGCCGTATTTACTACTGAAAAAACCCTGCATGTAAGCAGTCTCAGGCAGCGCAAACTTGATTTGTTCAAGGATCAACGGTATTGTGTTAATTCATGTAACAAATACATTATGAGCACCCATCACATGTCTAGCCCAGTTCTGGGAGACGGAGACACAGCACTGAACATATGGAGTGCTTATGTTCTGGTGGGAGAAGATGCAAGATATAAAAAATAACTAATCGGTTATACAGTATTTTAAGATGCTTCTTTCTATCATAGAGGATAGGAAATGTAGGGCCTCTGGTTTAAATGACTATTCGACACACACCGACTTCACTCTGAATGATAGATTCTTGCATTTGAATTTCTTTCTTGGGTGCGCTGGGCAGGACAAATTAACCTACACATTAGGGTTTACCCGTAGCTCTGTACTATGCTTGTCTTCTGTGTGCTGATGGTAAAGGTATCAACTTTTAATAACTCTTTTAGCTCAGACTACTGGGAACTAGAAGTAATATACTGTGGTACCTTTTCTAACGATTAAACATATAATCATAACGATGATGCTTATAATAAAAGAAACATAAATAAAAGGTCCTCAGAGGCAAGATGGAAATGGTTTCTGTACTTGGACACTTCAACTTGCTCATGTCTTTAATCACATGGTCTACATTCGTCCACGCTGGGCTACAAAGAACACTCACATCATTGCAAGCGCAGGGCCACTTAGAGGAATAATTAGGCGGCTCAGAGACTGTTGCTCACTTCTACAATAATCGTCTTCCAGTGTGTCTGGGAGTCTCCCTCGAAGTCTCAACCAGTGACAGCTGCTGTGTATTACACAAGCTCAAAAAAAACCCAACGACAACATGAAGGGCATGGTCAATGCCATCAGGCAAATCCACATGACACCAGGTTCAGCCTCTCTCAGACTCTTTCAGAGTGTTAAGGGGAGTCAGAGACCAGTGACAGAGGGACGAACAGGAGGCAGCTCTCACGCAGTATTGGCTTTGGAGTGGCTTTGCAGCCTGACTTCAGAATGAACAGGCAGTGCCGAGCCCCGAGGTCTAACGTTTCAGTTCTGGAACATGTGCGTTCAGTGGCCTCACAGACTGCTAGCCCATCAGCATAAGAGGAAAAAAATTCCCCAGCTTTGAGGGCTCTTATATAAGAGAATCAGTGATTGTTCAGGAAGGGGAGGTTCCAGGCAAGCTAGGAGAGAATAAAAACACTTGCTATGTAGGAAGGAGAAAAAAGGACTGAAGATTGGGTGTTTCCAGATTTATGCCTTTGGCTTAACGGTTCTTGACTCAAGTTTAGATTTTCCTAAGTAAGGTCTTTTTGTTCCACAGAGCTCAAATAAAAGCAACTAAGGTAGCTCATTCCAAGTATCAATGATTGCAAAACAATGTATATTTTAAGCACAATTCTGATAATATTGTACTGATATTTTTGCAATCACAAGGTTATTTCTTGAGACAAGAATCAGGTTCTTTTTTTTTTACGTTTAGTATTAATAAAGTTGACAGAACAGTGTGAGGAGGCTAGGTGAGGTAAAGGAGTAAGAGACTGATAATAAAGATTAATGGTCCTGCAGTACATGTCCTGTATAGTGCTTAATGATTAAAGGACAACAAAAGTAACAAAGGATATAAAACAGAAGAATAATAGATTTAAAAATGCAGACACGCTAAAGAGGGGAAAGCAATTAAGGAGATGCTAAATCAAGCGGTGTAACTTAGGCAATTAGTGTCAGGTCATTGGCCTTATGCTAAACAGGGTGTCCAATGCGGCTGCAGCACACTTTGGAAAGTCTGTCTCCCACAGTAAGTGCCAATGCAATCACCTTGCCCTGTACCGTAAGCTGTGCACACCAGCTCTGTAATGGGCAGGATGACTCCAAGGGGCAGCTTTAGCTCCCTCAATGATCAGGTAGGTCTACCATAACTTTGCTAAAGGCTCCATACGAGAATAAAAAAGAGAAAACTACAAGACAGCATTTCTTATGAATAGAAAAAAAAGTTAATAATTCCTGTGAATACCTTGAAACAAAACTCTTAAAAAAGATGAAAAATTGTCTTTTTTTTTCAGTACAACACTACAACATGCCTCCCCTCCCCCCGCCTTTCAAAAAAGAGTCGGGGAAGGAAAAAAAAGACTGATGAAAAAATAAAACCATGAGTGAAAACTTTGCAGAATTGTAACAGCGTTCTCTTGGTTAAATTGATTGGTACAGTAACATTATAAATTGACCATTAGGATTCATTGTGCACAACAGAAAGTGCTGAAAAGTCAGCAGACTATACAGCTAAAAGTAATGGGTTCCGAACCACGGTTAGTCAAAAATGATTTTGTTTCAAATTAGAAATTGATTTTTTTTTTCGGACACAAGCCCTTTCTAGACTCCTGGGTTCTGGAGCTGGGCAGGGGAGAGATTAACCTCCAGCAGGGCCGGGGCTGGCCTGGTGATTCCCTTTTCAATGGCAGCTTTCTAATGTTGCTGCAGGCTTAACCAGTAACACAAGTTATTTGTCCCTTTGCTATTACACTATATTTTTCTCATTTTGCTATTTTATTTTAGTGCTGACACAGGACACCAATTTGTTGTCAAGTTAAGAGAAGACTATGTTGAGGCTTGCAGTGTAATCACCACACCAACTTTCGCTGGTTCTCCAATCTCCAAAAATGCAATGACTAAGAATAGAGGGAGTCAAAAGTAAGAGTTTCCCGTCTCTGAAGGACTACTAACAGAAAAAGTAAAGAAGATTCCATCTCGGATACTAAGTCTCCTCCATTTCATTTTTGTTTTTTGGTAGCAAAGTCTCAAAAGGCAAAAGTTGCTCTAAGTGGTCCTAAAACAACAGAGGTCTGCAGAACTTCTGCACCTTAGCTTTTGTTTCAAATAGTGGATGGTCTCCCATCTGAAGCTTGGACTAATTATCATCTCTCAATTATCTGGGAGAGGACTAAACGATTTCTAGAGTCATCACGATTAAAACCAAAAAACACGACAAAGCTGGCAGCTGCTGAGGAAAGGCAGAGAGCAGCACATCTGCAAGATCTTCTCACAAAGCACTGCCCAGTTCTCAAATACACAAACGTGAGGGTGGTAGAGCGATTATGAAAAGCTGGATGATTAACACGAGAGGTGGGCAGTGCTAGCTAGCCCGGTGGAAAAAGAAGAGCATAAGAAGGAAATCAGGATTAACGGTTGTGAGCTGGAAAGACAGATGCCTGGGAAAGAGGCGTCAGCAGAAGGGGGCTGGCCCCGAGATCTTTTGGGGCCCTCTGTTTTCTGTACACTGGTCTCCCCTGACCAGTGAAGCTCAGACGTGATTCATTCTGCTCTAGAGTCCATCATTCAATGATTCCAGGAGAGAATAAGCCAAAAGCCACTCCAGAAACAACTGGGAAATGCAATTAAATTTGACGGCACTTAAATTCACTCGACATTTCACACAGTTATTCATAATTGATTTCTTTTAAAAGATCTACGACATATAAAATAGGAAGATTTACTGGCACTTAAAAGACTGCTAGGCAATATAGGCTTAAGACTTATGAGGTTTTTGATTTAGTCACGATGACTTCTCCTTCACCCTCGCCACCTTTCCAATTAATTGAGGATTAACTGTAGGTGTTGAAGTTTACTTTTCTACACAAGATTCATGTTCAATTTCTTGTCCTCTTTACTCACTTGGAGCATTATTTTGCAAGTGTGACCATACTTACAGACCATACAAATTCTTTTTGTTTGCTGCTTTGACAGAAAAAGAGCACCACATTAGATAGATTCTCATGAGTGTTCTAAGAGAAGCGTTGATGCAGTTCACTGATCTGGGAGGTGCGCTACTTGTGGCCTTGCAGGCACATGTCAGTTTGTAATATTTAACAGGAAATCATCTGGAGCTCATGGCTGGAAGCCACCAGCAACCACCTGCCCCCAGCAGCTCCTCATTTTGCTATTACTGACGCTAAGCTTACCTCTTTGGGGTTGAAATGCATCTTTCTTTTGACACGTCCACAGGGCATCATCTTCCATATGTGACTGAAACCCAACTGTCTTCTTCTCCCTTCTATTCTCTCCGCTGTTAGTAGAGTCTTGGTACTTTTTGACGGATGATGATGTTCCTAGCATCCAGTCATCACATTTTGACTTCAATAAGCTGAAAAGAATAAGCATGAATGAGCTGCAGAGAGCACAAAAGGGGTTATAGATCACACAAAGGCATATAATTCAGTATGAGTTGAAATGTAATTCATGGTAGTAAAAAGTTTTTATTTCTTTTCCTTATTTTTTTTTTTTTTACTGAGGTTTAATTTAAACAGTTTACTGAAGGTCTATTTTGTGTCCTGCCACAACAATTTTGGAGAAGAAACGGTCTTTATCCTCACAAAGCTTACATTTGGAGTTGGGGAAATAAGACTCAGACCCATGAAGCTCACAAAGCTACAGAGTATAACTAAGATCCAGAATACCTGGAGAAATAAAAAGTCTGCTGAAACAAGACTTGCATAACTAAAATGTTTCTAAGTCCTAAAAATGAGTGTTAGGGATTAAAATAAATTGTTATTGGAATTAAATAAACTGTTAATTGAATATTAGGGATTAATAAAAATTGTTATTTGTGTTCTTTCTGATGATGGTCACTGTGACAGGTGTGAGACGGTGCCTCACTGCAATTTTGATTTGCATTTCTCCAATCTGAGTGATGTTGAGCAACTTATCATGTTCCTGTTGGCCATTTGCATTTCCTTTTTTGGAAAAACGTCTGTTCAGTTCTTCTGCCCATATTTTAAATGGGTTGGTGGGTTGGTTGGTTGGTTGCTTTTTAATTGAAGTACAGTTGATTTAAAATGTGATAGTTCTGGTGTACAGCGTGGATGGACTTGGAGGGCATTACGCTCAGTGAAATGTCAGACAGAGAAAGATAAATACTGTAAGATATTACTTACAGGTGGAACCAAACAATATACAACAAACTAGTGAATATAACAGAAAAGAAACAGACTCACAGATACAGAGAACAAACTAGTGGTTACCAGTGGGAGAGGGAAGGGGGAAGGGCAAGATGGAGGTGGAAGATTAAGAGGGACAAACTATCAGGTACAAAATAAGCTACCAATCCTGGTACTTTGTACAACATGGGGAATATAGACAATATTTTATGAT